TTACATTTGGATTCCGATTTACAAAGAGAGCTCGAGAATGAATTTTCGATTTCTCCCCTTTGGTTTAAAACTGTGGTTCTTCTTGGTAGGGTGGAGTGCCTCCTTCGATTTCGGACTCGCGTCGAACTGCTCTCGTTGACGATCCGACCGTCCTTCTTCACTGGAACAAATTTGAGATTGGTCAAGTGCTTGAATGACTTTCGGCGTTTAGAACTCTTAACGAGTGTAAAGAACTCTGAACGAGTTTAAGAACTCTGAATAAGAGTTGTTGAAAACCGAATGTCTGGTTTTATGTGATTAACTTGCGTTGCAAAGCTAATTAAGAAATCTTAACGGAGTTTAAGAACTCAGAATGAGTTAAAACTCTGTTAACAGAGTTTGTTGGAACCGAAAATATCGGGTTAATTGCCAACGTGGATGAATACCTTGATGAAAGGCATCCTTCGGGATTTGATTAACTGATCTTGATCATTTCCTTGATCTCCCGAGATCTCTCCTTCCGATTATCGATTTTGAGAGAATACAAGTCAAATTTTCTTTCTTTGTCTTTTTACATCAAATTTCCAACAAACAGACATGTTTAATCGGCAGAGCCGTGGAAGGCTAACTGTGTAATACAGTGTTTCTTTTGACATTCTCTGCGTAAAATATTTGCCAGCGGGTTCGTTGTCTTTGGCCAAGTCTTTGCAGTTTCTTAGTTGTAAGTCAGCGCACAATTTCACCAGTTTTAGCATGCCAACTTTTCCATATGGTCCTTCTGTGAGTTATAGTTGATAGAATCTCAGCCACTGTCTCAGCCAGTTAGCATTTCTGTTTGACTCCTGAGGTTCCTTTTGGAGTGATCGTCAATTCCTAAGCATTTCATTCTCAAATATTTGGATTTTTGTTCCTTTGCCATTTGATCTGCTTCTTTGAGTGCAAAGGCAGTGAGCCAGGCATGAAGTGCAATTTCGTGCTGACTTATCTATGGGGCAAACATTTTACTGTTCTATGCAAATTATCTGGGGGTGTATTTGGAAAGTGAACAAGTATATTGCGCAGTTATAGATTTTTCACCTTCTCACTGTGATGTACGAGTTTTTTTAGGTTGTGTAAACAAATTGGGTTTCGGCAGTGCTTGTGGTGGTGGTTCCTGGACTAGTGTTGGCCATCTTTCACCTCTTTTGTTTTTTTATTGTCATGGACAATCCTGTTACTGGAGCAAGTGATGGGACATGTCAATATATGAGCCTTTGAGGCAACTAGGAATTCATGGAACTGCTTGGAGATGTTCAATAGTAAGGTCTCTTGAAGGGATTCAGGGAGTCTTAACATAACTCATGCAATTTTTATGGAGGAAGATCTTCAACTTCAAAGCATCACATATAGTGAAGGGTTTGATAGAATTTTCCTTATCATAATTTTTGATTCAAAACTGTTTTGTAAGATGCCGGTAAGTTCTTCCAAACATATTGCTTAGTTTAGTTGCTGATAACAAAGGCCTCTATGATGCTCTTACATTGTGCTTTATGTTCGCCGTTTAGTGTCCATAAGTGTTCTTGTCTTAAGTTGATTACTACTTGACAGTATTGGTAGTCATGATGTTCTTGCTGTGTAGGTTTACCCCTGCAACTGTGCAGAGGAAGGCTGCTTATGATGGAGCTGCTGGAAGGGTAAGTATCATTTTGAAATTTAAGAATGGCTTTAAAAGAACATTGCATAGTCTTTTTGATATCTTTGCAGCAGTAAATTATTAAATATGGGGAAAAATGCATGTTTTTCCATTTGTGGTCCTTGCTTTTGAAATATTGATATTTGTTGTGATTGTGTTCTTAAATTTATAGTTGATATGTTTCTTTAAGTTATTTACATTAAAAAAATTCAATTTGTTAAGCTTTACCTTCTAATCTAGGTATGACAGGCTAAGTGCACCTGAATGATGATTTAGATATATTAGATATATTAAAAAAAACTGATATACTAGATTCATCAAATAAAATCTGAATGACAGCTGATTATGTGGCTTATTTTGGCTCCTTTCATTGGGACTCAACCAGGAATCCTGTTGCATGTAAATTATTACATTGATTTGCTTATTTTTATTGGCAGAGGAACACATTTTTTTATTCTAGTTATATGCATTTTTCCATATGCGATTTTGCTGTTCGCTATTACAGATCATTTATGAGGAACCTTGTAATATTGTGTGTTTGGCGTATGCTATAATGCTAACATAGATTTTACTTTAGCGCATGCCTACTATAATTTAAAAGTTGTGGCATGCCATAGTGCATTTTGGAGGTATTTTTCTGATGGTTAATACCTTATATATCTTGAAGTGGTTGAGTAAGAGACGTTCAACTAATGAATGCTTCAACCTAGGGGAGAAACTACCTAGTAGAGTTAACATGTGATGTTATATTTTTATATGATTTATATCTATGTTGCTTTTGAGTCTGGAATACGTGTCGTTGTGCAAGTCAGGCATTATTTTCTTTCTTCAGTAATATGTGGTTCATCCTTAACATTAGAAATATTTCACTGTCCATTTCTAGCTGTTTCTCTTGATGATATTTAGTTATTATTTAATGCAAAAATGATTGTCAGTCCTGTCATGTCATTTCTTCATGATAGATTAACATTATGGTTTTGACCTGTTGCCTGAATACTTGTAGGCTTCTTGCTATGCAGGACCTTTTTTTGGGGCATTCTTTTTTCTCCCCCTCTTTTTTTCCTTTTGTCTTTTCTTTGTGTTTGGACGGAGGGAATGTGGGTTGGGCTTTCGGCCTGCATCAGGCTTGATTTAGAAGTGTTAGATTAAATCTATTGGGTATTGGGTTAATGGGTTGTGACCCGTTAATCATACATCTATTTGTATGACTATATATATATATATATATCTAACTATCATCTTAATGATTATGGCGTAAGGGTTTTGCTCTCCATCTGTTTCTACATGGTATCAGAGCACTAAAAAAACTAACCCTAATTTCCATCGCAAAAAAAAGGATCGATCAATCAAAGATCTGACCGATCAGTCGAATACGAAACTCCACAGAACCCCAAATCGCTGCCACCGACGCCACCTTCTTCACTAGACGCCGCCGCCACCATCTTCAGTCGCCGCCGTC